TAAACATACAACGACGGTCATGTTTACACGCGTATGGGCGGTGCTCATTTTCAGCCCCACCTATATGCATGCTGTCAGCTCCACCCGTGACACAAAACTAGCTACCGTACTGAACCTGACTCTCCGTTTTTCCGCGAGAGGCAGGCCCCGCCTGACTAGTAGGGTTAATTAGTGAAAGAAATTCATTTTTGATTGATATAAATGTTAAAACCATGCACTTAAAATTAAGTGACAAGTGCTACCTATGGAAACTAACAAAATCAAAATGCGAAAAAATGACTGATGTAAAACAAGCTGGTCTTTGGAAATAATGCTGTTTCTTTGATTAAAAAGACATCATGCATGAACGGCAATAATCATAACATTTTAAACTGCCGTAAAACTCATATAAAAACGCATATTTACCTGAAATTAAGTGCTTTGATGACTCCAGCGACCCAAGAAACCCCCGATATAAGTTCTTTCTCAGTAATTTTAGCTGTATCCCTGCTACAGATAAAAGATTGCTTTGTGCCGCGAGGCCTTTTCTAATTCAACGGAGAAAAAAATTAAATTTGAAAAATTATTTCCGGCATCGCTACTTTAAGAGACGATCTAGCTACAGGAAGAAACAGAAAACACTACACAGAGACAACACAGCAACAACCTGGATTTGTGGCCGGTAAAAACAGATTTAAACCGGCAAAGAATCAGATGGGGACACAGGTTGGACTCAGAGCACAAAACGAGTACAAGTAGACATTATTATTCGAAATGCTATTAACCGGCACACGTCTTTTAAAAACTTTCTACAAACATCTCAGCTGTCCTTTTTCGTAGCAATATAGATGCACCTTTAGTCTAAAAGCTCAGCAAGTTTGGACAGTTTAAGTTCCCTGCTTCTTGCAATAGCCATTATTATAAGTGCTCGGTTGCGCGATCAATAATCGTTAATTAATTTAATTTTAACCCTTTAAAACTGGTATTAGGGTTTCCAATGAAAAAATGATGGTTCTCAGATTTGACTTTATTACCACTAGATCTTTTGCTTGGCCTTGTATGAAGCCAAATCTTTATTTAAAAATTTTTTCGTTGCTCTGGTAAAGAGAAATATCAATTTTCACATATTATTACTCCAGTAGCCGCCATTTTGAAGCTCCACCCAACAACGTGTAGCTCTAGCTCTTGCTCGAGTTCTTGCTCCATAAAGTCGCCTCTGCTGGTCTTAACATCTAATCAGAAGTAGCTAGATCTATTCAGGATATTATCAGGTAGTTTATTGCTTAAAATAACATGTTATCATTGGGTAGAAGCCTGCAATGTTG